TGCAAGCTGAGTTGAGTCACCAGCCTCTGCCACGAAGTCCAGTCACTGGGACAGTGACATTCCCTGCAGGCAGCAGGCTCAAAGCCACCTGGTTCCTGGCAGCCTCTGCCAGAACACCCTTCCCATCAGCTCACTTGGGCAAGCCATGGAAAGCCCTTCCCTCAGCAGCATGTTCAGTGTTCTTCACTTTGGAAGAGACCATCAGTTTAGCCTGAGAGCCCCCTTTCCTCTGAAAAATATGGTTTCCCCTCACTTTTGCTGCTGCTGAGTCATTATCTCACAGCAAACAAGGACATGAAATAGAGCTTTTAACTAAGAACAAATCCCCAGGATTTACTATGACTCCTGTGTGACTTATCCTTCCTCCCTTTTTAGGGGTTTCGTCCTACACTGGTTTTCCACGCAGACTTTGGAAGTCAGTACAATTCCACTCTCCTCCCTCAAGAACTCTTCTTTACTCCAAAGGACACACAAATATCTTTGACAAAATCAAGTTCTGTAAATTGAGGGTTGATAGATTGTGGACCTGCTCTATGTTGCTACTTTAGATTCCCTTCCCTTAGTTTATTTTGTGTGGCCCCAAGTACTGAAATCCCAAGAGATATGAAGCTGTTTAGATGGTTAAACACAAGGAGGGAAAGTATTTCCATATTCTATTATTTTACTTTAGTGAGAGATAAATTGTTTTATGTCTTTGATATATTTCTGAACTAGAAATAATGTGTGATTAGATGTTTGCAACAGCAACCTCAGATGTCCATCTTACCTTACTGTCCAAACTTTGCAGCCTTTGGAAAAATGGCAAATATCTACATTCTTTTTAGCATATTAAACAATTTCTAACTTATCCGTTGTACAATTGACAATCATGTTGACAGTTTCACTTATCTGATTAAACAGAGTTAATAACCTGGTTTTCTAACGGCATCCTACCTCCTCTCTGTGTGAAATATTCTACTCAATCCACATGAGACCTCCACCCCGGCAGAATCTCTGACCCTGTTCAGGGGATCCAGACCACGAGATGTCGCTGCAAAGCCACTCGGTCACCTGCTGTCCCTCCGAAGGGAAACGCAGCACACCTGAAGTACCGGGGGCATGTTAAGGGCGATGATACGAAGAAACTTTACTTGTTTTTATAAAGTAACAGCAGAAAAGCTTGACTTCAAGTTCCGCATACCAGGGAGGAAGGACTGAAAAGTCGTTCTGGAGAGTGTGATTGTTTTTGTAAATGGGTCCGTCACAAACAATTCCAAAAGCTGAGAAAGTTGGGATGCAAATTTTGCAGTCTTCTATTACTTCTGCAATTAAAAAAAAAGCCCTACCAAACATACCATTCTTTACTCATACTGGGCTCTTCTTCCCAAAATGACAAAAGGAATTATTTCATAGCTTCCTGTACTGGGGGAGATGTGCTGCAGCAGCCAAAATGCAATACGCCCTGAATGGTAAACAGCTGTGTAGTGAAATAGGAAGGAAAAGGATTTACCTAAACAGACATAATAGGTTCTATTTCTAATGGAGGAAACACCACTGGTAATGAATGTTTCCTACAAATGCTCCAGAGAAAATTAAAATAAAATGTAAAAATAATTTTAAAATACACAGAATCAGTAGACAGACCAATATTTCCAGAGACTGATATGTTTTCAGGAGTTGTGTTTATATGTAAACATCAAGGCTTTACTGGATGTCAAGTTCTTTTTGGAAATTTATTGTTTATTCCAGCTGCAAGGAGGTTCAGGTAGTAATCACAAGTACCTATGAAAGCTGGCAGAACTCTGCTTCCCAATAACTTCCCAGTGCCACCACTGCATTCATTTTTTCTGCAATGCGACTAAAATCACAATGGGATACAGATGATGTGTTTTAATACATGTTGCATCATTGGAAATGTTTCATTTAACATCTATTACTGTATTAGTCCATAGAAGTGATGCAGTTAATGAAGAAGGGAATGTTTTTTATGAGGTGTTGTAGAAGTTCCTGATTTTGTCTGTATCTACACTAAATGTGTGGGCTCCTAGGGACAGAGACTTCCATTTTTAATTTTTTATTTTTTCAATAGGGCCAGTGTTAAAGATTAATAAAAAGGTACAAAAAACACATGGCAAAATGGTTCTGTATCATAAGTAACAGATTAGGAAAGTATTAAAGAGGAAGAAATTGCTTGTCCTTCCTACAACAACCTGGGTTTCTGGCCTCATGTAAGCTGCAGATGATGATGATGATGATGATGATGATGATGATGATGATGATGATGATGATGATGTGGAATACAAACTCACATGGACCTCTCTGATCAAATCATGGGTGACTCTCTGATCAATTTCCTATGTGAAGAATCTCTAAAAAATGCTATAAACATACAGAAGTCCTGCAGAATTCCCACTAGGTCCAAGTCAGGAAGTCACTTTAATCCAGGACACAAATAAAAGAACAGGCACATAAGTTCGCAAGATGATGGTATTTCAAACTGACCCATACCCATGCCACCAGCTACTTTAGAAAAGCTTATATTCTAAGATCTTATACAATTGTGAATCTGCCACAGAACAGAATGTTAAATTAGACTTTGAGTGTAAAAACAGGAAAAAAACAACTGTTCTGGTTTTTAAAATCACCTCTAGTATTTAAATTCTCTAGAAATTTCTCATATGTTCAACTTTCCAATTACCCTTGTACAATGCTGATTGGTTGTGCAGTGTTTTGAGTCACCTTCAACATCAGAAACTTTATAGAAAATCATCCAAAACTAGATATAGCTCTTGTTTTGGTACCTTGCCATGGTAATGTTCTACCTAAGTCCTTTATTATTCACTGGAAAATAACAAGTCTACTTTATGAGGCTGAGTGTTCATAGAATTACAGAATGGTTTGAGTTGAAAGGGACCTTAAAGATCATCCAGTTCCAAACACCTGTGTTCATCAGGGTCCAGATACCTCTCATGGTTGGTTTTGATTAGCTCTTCATGCTATAATAAATAGCTGTAGCTTTATTGCTATGGCAATTTCAGTATAATAATACATGCTATATTGAGAGAAAAGCTCACCTCTCCTTTCTCATTTGTTTAGGCTTTGGGGGGTTATTGCAGTTCCCAGGCTGCTTTCCTTCTTTGTGAAGGCTTTGCTCCTCCTATCACCTGTACTGAGGCCACAAGAACTACTCTGTTGATTTGACCCTTATGCTGTCCTTTCCTTTGTCCCATTCCCAAGTATACCCAAGTCTGTTTTTTTCCAGACAGATATTAGTTCTGCCACTATCCCCACACTCTTCTTGAACCACCAATTTCCCTGTGGGTAAGGATGCCACTCTTTAATTCAGCCCAGAGTAAAGATGAACCTGTTGTCTGTGTTATATGGAGAATGATGCAGTATTTTCCCCTATAGCACTGCAAAGACATGAATAGATATTTTGATTTATCAAAATTTAAAACCACATATAGCATCTCTATGTGTGAATTACTGACATAAACATCAACCAACCAAAATGGCTTTTTTCAGCAAAAGCACCACTGACCAGCAAAAAAAAGCACCAAACCGACCTGGTTCTTTGCTGCAGCCTTGGCTCATCAGCCAATCTTTGCTGATTATCTTTCAGTTCCAAGGTTCCAACGGCTTTGCTAGAGGAGCACTGTGTAGCTGGAATCTGTGGACTCCAGCAGTCCCTGAACACTCTACACTGGAAGACGGTCTGTAAAGCACTCCCTGGCTTCTAGTTCAACCTGTTAAATGGAGGGATGTAAACTCAAGACTTGCATCCTTACATAAAAAAATATTTTTAACTCAAACACTTGTAGTCATAACAACAAATTTATGTTATAAAACAATAAAAGGTTTTATTAGATTTTTTTAATGCTATACCTTAGATATAATTCTTAGTGTCCCCTCCTGCCACTGGCAAAAGCAGAGATATAAGCAAGCCTTTTTATACAGACTTTTTCCCAAAACCTCAGTTGTTCTTCCAGAAAATGTATTGATGTATTTTTCATTTATGTGTCCATGTACATCCTCACTGACTCCAGCATGGTCTGATTGACAGTGGTCTTTAGAAAGAGCTGATGTGCCAGCCCATATCAGGAAAGATGTATCCAGTTGCTGCTTAAATTAAATTATATTTTTACAAAGAACAAAGCTGGTATCAGAAATAGGTGCAAATAATTAAAGAAGAAGCAAAGAAATTAGTTTTTAATTAAATTAGGATTTTTGTCAGCTACATGTCTCTAATAATTCTAGGTTGCATAGAAATGAAAAGAGTGGAAGTATTTAAGAACTTTCTTAGTAAAAGATAATTATGGAGATTTGTCTAATAAACCTTTGTTGTTCTGCTAAATTAAAAGCTAAGTGGCTAACTAAATATTTATAAGCTTTTGAGATGGAAGTGACTCAGGATATGTCTACATTGGAATATGTTTCTGAGTTATGACTCATGTATTTGTAGGTGGATTTTATCTGAACCTTTCTTGACAATATGTGATGCTGTGCAGTACAAGGCCCATATTCTTTATATTCTGAGCCCATTCAGTGTTGAAGCTGACTGGATGAAAAGGGAGGTCACTCCAGAGCCCACAGTGTGCTACCATCTGTAGATAATTGAGGAAATGGCTCCTAACATATTGCTGGGGAATTGCCTTCCTTCCTTCCTTCCTTCCTTCCTTCCTTCCTTCCTTCCTGCCTTCCTTCCTTCCTTCCTTCCTGCCTTCCTTCCTGCCTTCCTTCCTGCCTTCCTGCCTTCCTTCCTGCCTTCCTGCCTGCCTTCCTGCCTTCCTTCCTTCCTTCCTGCCTTCCTTCCTTCCTTCCTGCCTGCCTGCCTTCCTGCCTTCCTGCCTTCCTGCCTTCCTGCCTTCCTTCCTTCCTGCCTTCCTGCCTTCCTTCCTGCCTTCCTGCCTTCCTGCCTTCCTGCCTTCCTTCCTGCCTGCCTGCCTGCCTGCCTGCCTGCCTTCCTGCCTGCCTGCCTTCCTGCCTTCCTCCCTCCCTCCCTCCAGAACTGACATTGGCTCTGACTTTGAGTGTCTCTCCAGTCTGTTTTGCAGAAGGCCCTGTGGCTCCCCAGGTAATTAGTGTCGTGTTTGCCAGTAATTCCATTGCCAGCATGTGGCCTTTCTTTCTGGTGTAGCTGTAGCTGTGGTAACTCCACATCATTTTCTGGATCCAGGATGATTGAACCCAAAGCAATCAGACATATGGCACAAAGGCCATAATAAGAGAATAAGTGAATGTAAGAGTATATGAAAATATGTACCACAAAGAGTAAACCACCTAACTCAGTGTCCTGCCCAGGGGCCAAGAGAAGATACCTAAATCAGAGCACGGGAACAAAGCAATAATAAATTCTGGATAATTCCTTTATTTCCAGGGTCCTACCTCACAGACAGACTGAGGTGATGTCTATATGTAATGGTAGTTCATGATATAGCTCGTTCTTTGATCCACCAATGTATCCAGCTGGTTTTTGAGCCAAGCTTCCAGCATCTATACTGCTGTATTAGATCACACAGCTGGAGTAAAGAAGAAGGAAAAGAAGTTAATGAAATGCTGTTGGTTTGGCTTCAGTTGAAAGAGGAAACCACTCCACTTGTATGCAACATCCTTCTCAACAGTAATTCTGAATCTACAATAATCACAATGGCACCACCTGACCCTTTATGGACTATGTCTTCAGTTCCTGGTTCTGCAAAGCTTCTTTTTGCCTGCCCCACAGCTGACAGACATTAACCTTACACACAAGCTGTTTGAACCTTCACTTCCACTTCATGGCTTTCTTGGAATTCAGCCACTTGCTTTTCTCCTACTCTGCAGTTCTGATGACTGAGAATAAACTTGTTCCATGTGCAACACAGTCATGATTTGCTCTCCAGAGTGGTAGGAATTCACCATCCAGCGTCTTACACATTCCTTTGCTCATTTTCCATCCCTTAGTACTTTCTTAGAGACATGCTTGAAGTGATGGGTTTGCTTCCTGTGCTGCTCCATGCCCAGCTGTACTGGGAAGTGATCCTGAAATTTAGTGTTTCACAAAGACGAATTAAAATTTCTGTAGGGAAAAAACCCAAAGAACCAAAAGACATTAACCAGATATCCAAGGTGCTTTGCTGGCAGCAAATAGCTTGAGGTACTGCAGATAACATACCATGCCACAAAAAACCCTGTGAAATGAAGAGCTGAGCATTAAATGTGGGTTTGTGAATCAGCAATAGATTCAAAGGGACAGAGGGCATAGAGGACCTAAGACCTTTAAAGAGCTTGAAAGTAGAAGTATGAAGGATGATGACCCATCAGGAGGTGATTGCAGCCCTCAGGAGGAGGCCAGAGCACATCTCCCATGGAGTAGGGAGAGTTTCACAGCTCAAGCTCAACTTGTGCCTGTGCAGGGACAGAGGGGTCAGAGCTGCACCATGCCAAAACCCCTAACTGCAGCCATCATGTATTATTAGCAATCTCTAAGTTACAGATGGCTGAAACGTCTGCAAGAAAGCCTCCATGTCAGATGTGCTTTTAGGTTACTGTAAGTCAAGAACATGAAATAACTGTTAAAATTATTGCCAACTTAAAGCATATATTTTTTAATAAACGCAGTCTGCCTGCTTTTTACAAGGCATTGTTTTATTGTAACCATAAAAACTTCAATTCCCTCTACCTAGAAGTTCATCTTTTGAATTACACTCTTCTAGTTCACTCACTCTGCAGTCAGTCAGCTTAATTTGTAACTTGTATAGATTTTCTGCCCAGCAACAGCAAAAGGAAAACATTCAACAGAAAAAGATGTCGTACCAGAAAGAGCACAAAACCCAGAACTGAAACTCAGGGCAAAATTCACTGCTGGAAGCATTTTTAGGTTCTTAATTGCCCAGTTTTCAGTCTGAGAATTCCAAATCATAGGAACAGAAAGGGGCAACTAGATTTGAGGGAACTGGACAAGACAATGCAGCACTGCACACTTTTCCATGCCAAAGTTCCAGGGTGTAGATTGGAAACACAGAGCCATAATAAATTATTATACGCTTTGCTAACTCCGGTGACCTCATAGCACAAGTATGTGGGACAACCTCTGGCAAAAGTCCCTTCTGCTTTTATATATGTTGCTTTCTGAATCTAATTCTGTAAGTATATGAGGTCTGAGCGATGAGTCTGTTTAAATAAGTAGCAGTTAACAAAGATGCTGTATTGAGTATCTTTAAGGCCTTACATCCTATTTCGGTGTATCAAAACTTGAACACAGACTTTTACAGCCAGAGCTGGAGCCAGGTCAAGGGCTGGTCAAAGGCTGAGGGGGGAGAGGGGCTGAGGGGCTCTTTTCAGTGGTGCCCTGTGACAGGACAAGGAGCAATGGCCATAAAGTAAAACACAAGAAGTTCCACCTCAACATGAGGATTAATTCCTACACATTGAGGGTGGCAGAGCACTCGAACAGGCTGTCCAGGTAGTTTGTGGAGTCTGCCCCCGTAGAGACATTCCAAACTCACCTGGACATGTTCCTGTGTCACCTGCTCTGGGTGACTGTGCCTTGGCAGGGGAGTTGGACTGGATGATCTCCAGGGGTCCCTTCCGGCTATAACAATGCTGTGATTCTGTGAAGGGAGGGCAGTGAGGGGCGGTCGGTGAGGGGCTGAGGAACCGAGGCGAGGTGGGGCGGACTGAGGGGCTGAGGGAGGTAGTGGGGGGCTGAGGCGGGATGAAGAGAATGAAGGACCGAGGCGGGTTGAGGGGGACTGAGGGACCGAATCAGGGCGCTGCGGGGCGGTGATAGACCAAGGCGCTGAGGCGGATAAGGCGCTGAGGGACCGGGGTGGGATAAGGCGTTGAGAGGCGACAGTGGGGAACCGAGACTGCCCGCTGAGGGACTGCGGCGAGTCACTGAAGCACTGAGGGACGGCGAGGGGACCGCCAGCGACCGCGGCGGTCGCTGAGGGGCGGGGGGCGGTGATG